AGGCGTTCCCTGTGCACGTTATCGATGTAGCACGTGCTGTGCCACTTTAAACTGTCTAGCTGTGGCCGGGCACAGAGAAGAAGTGTGCATGCACACGAGCAACAACGAGGGCCGTGCTGCCAGCAATGGCCTTGGAATGGAACCTTCATGCTGCAAGCTGCAGTCTTGTGGCTTCATGGGTATGCACTGCAAGGAACTAAGCACGCGGCCCCTTGAGCAGTGACCACTCGCTGAAGCTTAAGTAGCCCGTTGCCTCGAGGAAGCTGTTACTTTCATGTTGAGCATCAGCTAAGCTGAACTACGCCGGCCTGTCGCCCGGGCGTCTCGTGAAGGAAAAGGAATAGCATCTTCAGGTCTGCCTGTGCCGTGGCAGCAGTTAACATCAGCACGGCCAATAGCCGACTTATTTCTACCCACAATGCGGCTTAAACAGGCAGAGTTTGCATGACTGCAACCTCTGCAGCACTCCGCAAAAGATCAGCCTTGGGTGCAATCTTGAAGAATCCAGCCTGGTGACATTCGCAATGAATATCTTCCAAACAGCATAGTGCAAGGACTGACCTGAACACACGTCTTCTGGAAGGCATCGTACCCAGCGGTTTTGGGCCTCAAGCTGGAGGCATCTGGGTCGTTGTCAAAATTCTGGTCTTTCTCTGGATCCCTGTTATAATACGGCACCTAATATTTAGGGTACGCAAAACGGGACAATAATTTTAGCAACCACCCATGTGTGCAAACATGGGCGGTTCTCCCTTGCCATCAACTCCGAGAGCCCCTGCGAAGCAGGCAAACCCTGAAGAGCACGCTCCTCAGCAGGTGGGTAGTTCCCAAAATCATGGGTACCATTTTGAGGGTCCCCATAATAAGGACTTTAATATATTGGGTTCTATATTGGGGTCCCTCTATTTTGGGAAACTACCAGGCGGGCCAGAGTGCTATGTCAAGGCTCAGGTTTTAATGCTGCGATAAAAAACTGCGAGGACTTCAAATTCCTTGCAGGTGCTGAAGGGAGACTGGAGAAGTAGATCCCCATAATATCACCTACATAAACCCATTATATCTATCCCGATAAGGCCCTGTATTGGACCTCACTCCCCCTGAAGCACCACTTGGATTCCCTCTTTGACACTGCAATTGGCACTATGCTTGAGGTGGACCCCCCCCACCCTGCAATAGTGGTATAGTTGGAATATAAGAGGACTTGAATGTAGTCTTCACTATCCCGTAGAGTCACTATTGCTGGGTGGGGGGTCCACCTAAACTATGCTTGTCCCTGTTCACTGAGTGCCGGGTCACGCTCCACAAACTTTGCAAAACACGCGTCAATTCCTTAGTGCTGAATGCCGAGCAGTTAGGGTACTTTCCCTAAAGAGGGGAACCGCATATAGAACCCAAAATGCTATCATCCTTGTTGTGGGTACCCTTCAAAAAGGACCCCAACTTTGGGAAACCCCCCTTATAAGCTATAGGGGCAGGCTGCTTCCCATCAACCATCATGCTGCAGTAGCTGGCTAAGGCTGAAAGCATGTCAAGTGCCACATCTCAGCGGGTGATAGGGTGCACAAGTGCTCAATGTCGCAGCCCTGAAGTTACTCTAAGGTTGGGTCATTTTCCCTCCCAGTAACTGTCCTTAAAGGGGCCTTATTAAGGGGGTTCTTATAACTCCTATAACCCATTGTGGTCACAGTTACTGTAAGGGGGAATGACCCTACTCTAAGATTCCATTAACCACAAAAAGCTGGGCAAGCGGCCGCCAAGCATTGTATCCACAAAACGCTTCAATGCCTGGTGCACATATGGTAGTTTCCCAGAATAAGGGGACCCCAATATAGACCCCCAAATACTATGATCCTTATTACGGAAGCCCCCAAAAGGGTACGCCTAATTTTGGAAACCCTCCGCACTAGGAGAATACTGCATCACCGTGGAATCCCCATATACCCCTTTAAAGGGGCCCCTGGTTCCAGCTCATGCAAGCTGAAGCTGGGAAGTCATTTCATTCTGATATACCATTATGTACAGTAATATGCCATAATATAGCATAATACACTATAATATACCATAATGTACCATAACATACCATAATATACTACAATATATCATAACATACTATGCAACTGGCCTCCAAATCCCGCAAAGAATCTTCTGCCAGAAAGTCCAGTAATTTCTGGAACTCACGGGCAGAAACCTTCATGTCAGGAGAACACATGCATGCTGTGGAAAGAAGGTGCCTGTAAGATGTTGAAAGGTATCGTGCGCTGCACGCATGAAGCATCGACACGCCGCAGGAACCGCCCTCACCCACCTCTCCATCAAAATTTCGATCCATCAAAGAGAACCTTAGCAAGGGGCAAGCAGTTCATACTTTGAACAGTCAAGGTGTGTGTGCAATCTTGTCCAGTCAATGACGCGACTTCTGCACCCCTTGGTGTACCACAAAAAACTGCCATTATTAGCTCAGTGTCTGATGATGATGTGTTCACTGCGTTCTCATGACTTTTTGCGCAGAGCACGGCATCAGCTGGGCCATGCTAGACCTTTTTAATCGATCTCTCCTGTTGTGGCACTCAGTCACCGGAACTGGAACACTCTGCAATGCATGATTTGTACATGAGCTATAGTCTAAACTCCTAGTATTCCCCTTTGCTAACCTCTACAGCACTCCCCTATACAATTCCTTATATAACCCCCTTTAAGATGTTCAGATTATTGCTTATACTACACAGAGGGCGCGGCACTGACCTGATGATTCGCGCATCAGTGCCAGGATATCCCAGCGCTCTTGCTCCTTCCGCAAAGGCCTTGCGGCTCAAGCCTTTCCTGGCCAAAGTTGTCCGTTCCCAAAAGCATTGCCAAAAGGATCTGAATCTTGCCAGCAAGGCCCTTCTGGTGGACTGAAGGCTTTGAACACCTTCCGGAAGACCTTGCGAAGCAGGTCAGGGAAAAACAACTGCTGGAGCCGTCAGACCAAATCAGCATAGTATGGTGAAGCGCACCATTTTCTGCATGCGGTCTCTACAACACCCCTTTGTTGAAACCCTCGACCCGACATGCACGCACTGCATGCCCAATTTGCTGCTGCCATCTCCACCCCGAAGAAACAGCATGAGCTCACTGAGGCCCAATCTTCGGCAGTGCGACCGAACCTCTGATTTGGCTTCGTGAAACCATCGCGAGTATTACTATTACTTCTACTATTACTATCATTATTACTATTACTACTAATACTACGATTATTACTACCAATTTTGGTCTTGCGATCACTGATACAATTACGACTAATACATTTCCACGGTCAGTTTGCACCAAGCCCAGCATCAGCCTTGCAGACTTCTGGGCCGCCCCGCCCCTCGAAAACCCAACTTTGAAAGTGCTCAAGTCGTCGCCTGGCCACAAGGCATGCCCCATGGGTTCAGGGTTCAGGGGTTTAGGGTTTTGGGTTTAGATTTTTCTTGGTAGAGTATATTTCGCCACCTCATATCCAGGAGCATCAAAATGGGACCTCTTCTGTGGGAACTACCCACATGGCAGACGCGCTCATCTGTAGCAAAGTGTACATGGTAGTGGTTCAAAATATCTGTCCCCAAAATGGCCATACTGTGGGTTCCCTGTTTGGTTAGGATCCCCTTGTAAGGAAGTATATTCCCTATTGCCCCCTCTTTACAAGGACCTTTAGAAC